CCAATAGTCTGTGGATCTAGACATGGCCAAACCCGAAGAAATTATCTCACCAGCACCTGCGTGATTTAAAACGGTGCATCAAAAGGTAAGGGAGAATCTAAGGGCGAAGAGATTTCACAGAGCATATACAAAATACAGAGCTGTAAATACACGCCTTGCTGTTCACGCTGGCTCTAGGTACACAACGGGCAATTTAGAGCGGACTGAGTTTGCAGATTAAAGAGACACCTGAACTTTGCAAGGCAAAGAAGTCTCGTTTACGGCTGGAGAGGATCTGCTTTTGGTTGCACTCAGGAAAAAGGCCGCAAGATCAAACTACTCAAAGACAAGCTGATTAAAAGCTTGTCTATTCAATGGAGTGTCCCTCTGAGCCGCTCTCTCTGTTCTGGTGAAGAGCTAAAATGGAATTCAGAATTAGCCATTAAAATATCCCCTTCTTCCACAGCTGGGGCCTAGTCCTTTCCATCCGCTTGTAAACAGAAGTCTCCATCGAGAAAAGTCCAGTGAATTCTTAGCCCCACTGAAATCAATGGGAAACGTCCCCTAGATTTCAATAGGGCCAGAATTTCTCCCTATGAATTTTGAAAGGGAATACTTCCAACAAGTTAAAATAGCCATAAACAGGCTAAAAATGGTGATAATCAAAACTAGGAAGCATCCTGGTTAGAGAAGAACCAAACTCAACTAGGTTAGCCTAGTAATCCTGGAGTCGAAAAACCCCAATTCAGGAACCGAGAATACCCACGCAGCTCTTTTTTGCACCCTGCTTATGTACCAAAACCAATCCTCTGAAATTTCTTCACGTCAGCGGAGAGGTCAGAAATAGCGCGAGATAATTAAGGCTCAATATCTCTGAATTGTCAGTGTTTGTTATTTCAGAAGCTACAGAACTGGTTTTTTTGCATTTTTTTCTTAAAGCAGGCATTGCCTCTCCTCCATTTGAGCAGATGTAGCCTTTTGAACGCTCGCTCCCAGCTGGAGAACAGACATACCCGAAATGTTTCCTGGCTGTCACTGTTAATAATAAACATCTTCTGTTTCCAGATTTGTGTATTTATGGATTAAGGGCGGTCGGTTCGGGCGGGTGATCTACATTTAACACGTTTCTTCTGCTTCTCATCGGAGCTCATCCTCGCTGCAGCATCATTTTCAACCCAGGGTCAAACACATAAACGTTTTATTGTTTATCGTTCAAGTAAATACAAACCAATATTAGCCGCTAAGTATCCAAACAGGCTATTTTGTAAAATCAACACAAACTTGGTAGCTATATTTATACAAAATACTGCAAAGCAATTGGATAAGATAGTTCAAACAGCATCAGATGCTTTGCGTTTATCATTGTCAAAAGAATACAATCACAGTTAAATGTTTTACAGTGTAATTATTTTTCAGTGTTATAATACAATTCTCCCATTGCCATCTCTATTCACTTACTTTTAACAGAAGACGTTTGGGATGAAATAGTGTTAAGAGTTTGGGGGTTTAGTATAGAAACCTATTTGGGGCCATTTTTGATCCACACACTAATACCTCTTCAATACCTTCATTTTCCATACAGAGAAAAGGTAGCAAAGAGATCTTTTGTTGGTCCAACTTTTGTTTGGTGAGAGAGACAAGCTGTCAGGTCTGGGTCCTTTGCCGTCATACTGTGGAGTTTCCATTTCCTTATCCATTACTGTACGTGTGGGGGAAAGATTTTCCTTCCACAAGGAAAAGCTTGTAAAAATCGGGTATCAAAATAACTGAGCTGCTTATAGCTGTTTTAAAATTGCTTTCATTCTTTTCTATGATTTTCCTGAATGAGAATATTCTGGCTTTTTTACTAACACCATTCTTAGACACTGCCCATGACTTGTCACTGGTTGGGGCAAGAGCAGAGGGATGTGGCTTAGCAATGATTTAAGATTTACCTACTGATAAAAATGATATTTGTAAATGATCTGAGGACAAAAATTTGTAACCTCATAGCGAAACTGACCCGACTACATGAAACAATATTGCCTCGACGAATTTTTGGTGTGTGGCTTTCAGAGTTTTTACTGCTGTCTTCAGTATTTAATTAGCACTCAGCTTCTTCTAGCTTCTAGTTTATTTCCAAAATAATGTTAGGTCTGTAGGCGGATAGAGAACAGCATAACGCCTCTCCATATGAATTAGCAGTTGCCAGATCCAGTAGTTTAGAGAGGTGCCAGTCACTGACTGAAAGGTGAACATGATTTACAGTCTCATTTCCAAATTTGATGAAGTGGAACTGAAATCTCCAGGTACTGTCAGACTAGACAGGGTAAACAAAAAAGCCTTCAGATTTGACCATGTGCTGCTTTAGCATAACGTTTAGGGCGCAGCTGTTTGTATCCTTGTTTCACAGGATCAGCCGCCCGTCATTATTGGATGAAGACTAGAAAATGTAATTGTACAAGTATTGCCGAAATAAAGCTCAGTTTATCTAAAGACACACAGCCTTCAGCTCAAAGCCTAGGTAACACTGGTGTAAAGTGTCGCTCACATTAGCTGATCACTGATCCCTTTAAAAAAAAAAAAGCGGCAGTTGGATGATTCAAATCCTACTTCACAAGATACAACGTGCAATACACCGGAAAGGACGGGGGGGGGACACGGTTTCAGTTTTCAGTTATTGCCCTTGGTGCTAATGCAAAGCGAGAGAACACCTCCAGTGTGTCTTAATGACTAGTAAAGCAGGATCCTATTTGTTAAACTGTTTTAAAATATTTTGTGAAAAATATTTCTGGTGAGCCCATTCGTGTAAAGAAATGGGTGATTAATATAGCTCTTCGATGGACTGTAACGAAAGAGGCAAGGCTCCTTTGCCTGTAACAGCTACTCTAAAAGGCACCCTAGAAAAATATAATATTGTTTTCACCCTCCGCTCCTTATGTCTTGTGTGATTATTTAAACGTGTGCAAAGTCAGTGTAATTGCACTACCCAATTAGAATTAGAAGACAGGACCCTGGGCTAGATGGACCATTGGCCTGACCCCCTTAGCCGTCATGTTCTCATTGGCACTCGCTTTTCTAGCAGGCGGAAGTGACTCAATGAGTGTAAAATGCAACCCTTCGGATTGGGTAGTGTCCTTGCCTAGGTGTAAATGTAGTTCTTATTTGGGGCCAGGGCTGGCCGCTGCACCTCTAGGCTTGGTAGGTAATAGACCTCGGGGTTTGCCCTGTCGCTAATGAAAGTTTGAGCCCTGGCAGCTCCTTCATTACAAATTCAGCACCGTGTAGATGGTTACTTAAAATGCAAGGCAAGGGAGACTCAGGCCCAGAAGATAAAAATACACAAAATTAGAGCACACCAGGTATTAGTTTCACTCAGGGCTTCTCTCCACACACATTTTACACCGCTTTAGTTGTATCAGTTGGCAATAGAGTTCAGTTCGTCCAAACCCCGAGCGTAGATGCAGTTTTACTGGTTTCAGGCGATCACATCGGTCTAGCTTACTTTAACCTCAACTCGAGGTACTTCCACGCCGGTGTAAACGCATCCCCGGGGCGGAGTTAACTCCCGCGTTTGCCCGCAGTAGGGTAATAACCCACGCAGAAACGTCCGCCGTGCTTGCTGCAATCCCTCTGGAGCGATGGTAATGCTCATGCAGGGACTGTCCTGCCCACGGTCAGTTTAAAAATACAGGCAGGCCACCATTAACACATTTGGGAGTTGAGCGACGCCCGCGGGGGCCGTGTGAGCCGAGAGCGGAACTGCCCACGAGCGCAGGAGGCTGGGGCCGGGGCCCAGACTGAAGGGGAGAGGAGACTTGAAGGCCAGGGGTGTGGCTGCGAGGGGGGTGGGAATTGCAAAGCGTGGGCACAGAGGGTTGCCAGGGAGTTGACAAATCGAGTAATCGCGGGCACAGGGCCCGTGTCAGGGATTCAGCGCAACGAGCCCGAAATAATTTCTGGGCTCGCGGCCCAGGCCGTTTCGTGCACAGGCAGCGGCGGGAGGAGGATCCCGCTGCGCCGGGGGGGGCTGGAGGGTTATTTAAGGCTGGTGGGTCCCCCCCACCCCCCTTGGGGCGGGCGCTGGGGTGAGTTGCATGGAAAGGACTCGCCACGCAAGAGCCGCGGCTGCAGGGGGCGCAGGGCCGGGGCCGGGGCCGGGCCGGGGCACGAGCCGGACGCTCTGCCGGGCACGCGAGGGGCTGGCGCGTGTCCTCAGCCCCGGGGCGGCGCGTGCGCCATCGCTCCGGCCTGGGCTGCGGCCCTGGCTCTGCCCCGGAGCCTTCTGCGGGGCGGGGCAGCCCCGCCCGGGCCACAGGGGGCAAGAATTGGGGGCAAGAAGGGGCAACCCCAGAGGAACAGGGGGGCAAGAAAGGGGGAGAGGTAGGCCCAGTGGAACATAGGCCTACGGGAGGCAAGAAGGGGCAACCCTGGGGCGGCAAGAAGGGGCAACCCTGGGGCAGCCGCAGAGGAACGGCGGGGGCAGCCGCAGAGGAACGGGGGGGCAGGAAGGGGTGAGGGGCAGGCCCAATGGAAGGGGAGGAGGGGCAGCTCCAGAGGAACGGGGGGGGGCAGGAAGGGGTGAGGGGCAGGGCCAATGGAACGAGGGGGAGGGGCAGCTCCAGAGGAACGGGGGGGGGGCAGGAAGGGGTGAGGGGCAGGGCCAATGGAACGAGGGAGGAGGGGCAGCTCCAGAGGAACGGGGGGGGCAGGAAGGGGTGAGGGGCAGGCCCAATGGAAGGGGGGGAGGGGCAGCTCCAGAGGAACGGGGTGGGGGGCAGGAAGGGGTGGGGGGCAGGAAGGGGTGAGGGGCAGGCCTAGTGGAACGAGGGGGAGGGGCAGCTCCAGAGGAACGGGGGCAGGCCCAGTGGAAGGAGCGGGAGGGGCAGCTCCAGAGGAACGGGGGGGGGCAGGAAGAGGGGGCAGCCCCAGAGGAACAGGGGAGGCAGGAAGGGGTGAGGGGCAGGCTCAGAGGAACAGGGGGGGCAGGCTCAGTGGAACGGGGGGGGGCAGGCTCAGAGGAACAGGGAGTGAGGGGCAGAGTAGGAGCCACTTGCACAAAGAAGGAGGTCAGGGGAGTAAGCAGTCCACACGGTGAGCAAAAGCCATATTGCAGAAAGGAGAGTTCAGTTCCTCGCAGGCTGAGCTGGGCTGGGCCAGAGCTCCCAGAGGGAGAGAAGGATAGGAATTAAGAGAACGAGAGAAATGGGATTCTCAGAAATCTTATCAGCTCCCCAAAAGAGGGAAAAGAGCAAGAGCTCAGGTATGTGGGTACATGATTTATACAATGCTAGACTCTCATATACCATGGGGTAGGGGGTAGTACAAATCCTGGATGAAACAGACACACTGTGTTAAAACATTTGTATAGAAAAGTTAACCATGTTTTATTTGTTCCCTTATGTAGCACGAGAATTTTAGTTTAAACAACACTGTTTAACATCATACCTCTGCCTCCTTAGGTACATGTGTATCTGAGATACCGAGATCAAAAATTAACACCTACCTGCAAAAGGGAAGAGTTCAGGTTGAACAAGAACAGATGTAGTTGAAGAGAAAACTGTTTTACGAAGTAGCTTTAATATTCAAAGTATTGCAATTTTTGTTGTTGTTGGCATGAGGAGCTGGGAATTGGTGGTGCAGTGATCACAGAGACAGAGTTTCAGTTGGAAGTTCTCAAAAGTTGCTGAGCACCATTGTAACAGTTTGGTTTGGATGTTAGTTCTCTTGTAGTTCCCCAAAGGTTTCTGGCATGAGGACACTGTCCAACTACTACATGAATTTTCTCCAGGGGTAGACTTTGGTGCAGGGCAGACATTGCCCCTTGCTCTCTCTTCCTCTGTCTGGACAGCCTTGCCTAGTCCCAAAAAGACACCATCCATCTCTCTCTCCTCCTCCAGGAGATGGCATTAGTTTTATAGATCCCTCTCTTCTGGCTTTCTCTTGTGCCTGCTGGGTGGCCAGCTGCTGTTGAGAGTCCATGGCACTTTACTGAAGAAAAACATCATAAAAAGGAAAAACACATCAGTCAATGTGAATCTGACCTGCCTATGGCCTCCTTGCACAGGACCCTCACTACTAGCTCCACTCCCCATTTTCTCCAATCCCCCTCTCCCCCCTGACTTCTTGTCCCTTCTCGACTCCTCTTCCAAAACATACTAGACTGGCTCCACCTTTTCAGCTCTTCCCCTTACTCCCTGATGGGCACAGCACCTCCCCACTCCCAACAAGATCCACTATTCCTTCGAAACGGGTCTCTGCTTCCTGATTCTATTTCTCCCACTCCTGAACTGTACCAGACACACCTGCTGTCCTTCTGAATCTTATCCTTGAAATTCTTTGAGCCTGGGCTCTATCCACTAGATCATCCTAAGAAGAAAAGGAGTACTTGTGGCACCTTAGAGACTAACAAATTTATAAATAAATTTTGTTATTCTCTGAGGTGCCACAAGTACTCCTTTTCTTTTTGTGGATACAGACTAACACGGCTGCTACTCTGAAATAGATCATCCTAGGTCACTAATGATCTCTGCCTGGCGACAGGTACTTTCTGGGGAGATGAGCATTTCACAGAGCTCCCATGAGCAGTAACTTTTAAGGAACACCCACTAGATGTCAGCCCTTGAGCCTCAGGAAACTGATTTGAAAGGGATGACACCTTTGATTGGTGTAGCTGTCACTGGCTTGAGGCCTGGTGAACAGGTGCATTAGAACAATTTGTATAGCGGAAGCGCTGAAAACAGAAACCATGTATTTGTTTGTTGTTACTACTTCAAGTCCAGAGGTGCTATCACACCCCAGTGCCCCTAGTTTGAGCACCCCTGATAGTGAAGCAGACTCGTTAGAAACCTGTCTGTGACAGTAGGATCATTGTTCATTAACCTGTGGAAGTGGAATTCATTGGCAGCCTGACTAACACTGGGAGTCAATGGTCATTTACCTGTAGGAGCTGATTGCACTGTCAGCATATGTTCATTTTCCTTTTACCTGTGGGAGACGATTACAAGATCAGTAATATTGCAAGTCAACATACGACCTACCTGTGGGAGCTGAGCTCCCTGTCCACCTGTTTGTAACAGTTGAAGTCATTGTCCACTTAGCTGCATGAGGTGTGAGTTGTTTTGAGCAGGGGGGTATAATTAATTGACTTAGGGGAAGAACTGCTTTTTACAGCAAATGATTTATTGGGAGGAGGAGGAGGAGGATTAAGCCATGTACCTGGACAGAACCCATTCCCTGCTTGTTAGAACTGGGCTTGCTAGAACCCTACCCAGCAGAGCCGTGCTTGACCATCCCTGCCATTTTGAGTTAGGTGCATAGTCCATCACCAATTGTTCCATGGCCATAGAGACAAAGTCAGGTGCCCTCATGTGCCTGCCCAGCTGCTGTTGTGGGACAGCAGCTTGCCAAAGAACTATCTTGGTTTTGGTGTAAAGTCACTGGCTGGTGACTTGAGGGAGGGGACTCATCAGCAAACGACCAGTTTTGGCAGGATTCCTTGCCCACTTATACGTAACAATGGGGATCATTGCCTGGTGGCCCTCAGGAGTGGAGATCACTGGCAGCTTGTCCGTTAAAATAGGAGAGCAGAATGCAGATCCACTTGCTCTGGGAGCTGAGCTCCCTGGTAGTCTATCTGTAACAATGGGGGGGGGGAGGAAATGTCAATTTAGCTGCGTGAGATGACAGTTGGTTTGGGGAGGGAGCAGCATTAATTCATTTAAGTGAAGAATTGATTTGTAGGGCAAACTATTTATTTGGGGGGGGGGAGGATTAAATGATTTATCGAGGCAGAACTTGTTCCCCTGCCTATCAGGGCCCCCTGCCTGTTGGAAATGGGCTTGCTGGAACCACTCCTGCCAACTTGAGTGTGGCTTCCTCCATAGTCAGTTGTTGATCGTTCCATGGCTCGTAGAGACAAAGACAGGCTCTGTCCAGTGCCTGCCAGGCTGGCCCAGTTCCTGTTGTGGGCTTACAGCATTTTACTGAACAGAAATCTTGATCAATGTAAACATCACTGGCTGCTGGCTTGAGGCAGGAGGCTTGCCAGCATCTGGCTGACTTCAGCATTTATCCATAACTGCGGGGATCATTGTCCATTTGCCATGGTAGCTGAGTTCCCTGGCAGCCTGTCTAAAAAAGTGAGTATCTTGTCCATTGATTGCACCGTCAAGGTGATTCAGTCGTTGTGCATTTACCTGTGGGACAGGATTACATTGTCAGTAACATTTCAAATCAATGTCCACTTATCTGTGGGAGCTGAGCTTGCTGCCACCCTGTCTTTAAAAGCTGGAATCATTGTCCACTTACCTGATGGAGCTGATTGGACTCTCAGCATCATGGCAACTCAACCTGTAGTTGTCTGTAGGAGCTGAGCTCACGGAAAGCTTGTGCATGATAGTTGAAGTCATTGTCTGCTTACCCGTGTAAGTTGAGCTCACTCACAGCCTGTCTGTAACAATGGGAGAAAATGCAAACCTATCTGTGTAAGGTCTGAATTGGTTTTGGGGAGGGAAGAACTGGTAGTTAGGAAAAAGGATTTATTTGTTGTAATGAGGATTAAACGTTTTATTGAAGAAGACCCAAATGCTCTTAAGCAAAGTCAACAGTCATGGGAGGAGAGGGAACCCCTCTCATGGATCAGTAACTGGTTAAAAGTTAGGAAACAAAGGGTGGGAGTAAAGGGTCAGTTTTCACAGTGGAGAGAGGTAAAGAGTAGGATCTGTACTGGGACCAGTGCTGTTCAACAAATTCATAAATGAGCTGGAAAAGGGGTTAAGCAGCGAGGTGGCAAAGTTTGCAGTTGATATAAAATTACTCAAAATAGTTAAGTCCAAAGCTGACTGCCAAGTGTTATAAAGGGATCTCACAAAACTGGGTGACTGGGCAACAGAATGGCAGATTAAATTCAATGTTGACAAATGCAAACTAATGCACATTGGAAAATAGAATGCCAACTATACATGCAAAAAGATGGGGTCTAAATTAGCTGTTACCACTGAAGAGTGGGATCTTGGAGTCATTGTGGACAGTTCTCTGAAAACATCCACTCAGTGTGCAGCATCAGTTAAAAAAGCGAACAATGTTTGAAACTATTAGGAAAGGGATTGATAATAAGATAGGAAATATATAAATCCATGATACGCTCACATCTTGATGATTGCCGTGCAGTTCCACATTTCAAAAAAGGTATATTAGAATTGGAAAAAGTACACAGAAAGGCAACAAAAATGACTAGGGGTATGGAACAGCTTCCATATCAGTAGAGATTAAAAAGACTGGGACTGTTCATTTTAGAAGAGAGATGACTGAGGGGGAGCGGGGGATATGATAGCAGTGTATAAAACCAAAACTAAAGTTAATAGGCAGCAGGTTTAAAACAGGTACTTTTTCACACATTGCATAGTCAAACTGTGGAACTCATTGCCAGTGGATGTTGTGAAGGCCAAAAGTATAAATGGGTTAAAAAAAAGAATTAGATAAATTCATGGAGAATTCACCATAAATGGCTATTAGCCAGGATGCTCGAGGATGCAACACCATGTTCTGGGACACCCAGAACATGTGACTGCCAGATGCTGGGACTTGATGACAGGGGATGGATCCCTCAAAATTGCTGTGTTCATTGCCTCTGAAGCATCTGGCACTGGCCACTGTCGGAATACAGGCTACTGGGCTTGATGGACCTTTGGTTTGACCCAGTATTGCCATTTGTGACATGCCCCAGGGTACAATGTGGACTGTTGAACAGCTGTGTCCCTCAATTCTCCAATCTGGGGTGCCTTTTACACTGCTTTGCTGTGAGAACCACCACTCCTGACCAGTTCATACACAGTCTCTGGCAGGCAAAGTCATTCCCAGCTGAATTCCTTGAATGCTCTGGCCAGCCACTCATAAATTACATTGAGGGCGACATAACCACCACACTTCCAGTCCCAGACCTTCCCCATAAAATGTGCGTCTAGTACTACCCAGATCTCTACTGGACAATGCAAGCTCATATAAAGTTTGTCATTTCATCAGTGGAAAATGATATGCAGAAACCTTGTTATCCCAAGTGGAGTTTCCCCAAACACTTCTATCCAAACACACTAGTTTAGATAAAACAGTAAAACAAGTTTATTAACAACAGAAAGATAGATTTTAAGAGATTACAAGTAATGAAGAAAAAAGTCAGAATTGGTCACAAAGAAAATAAAAAGATAAAATGCAAACGAATACCAAATTTAGCAAGCTATTAAATTAAATTTAGCACTTGCTCTT